GATGCTGGGGAACAGTGTCCACGCTTCCTGGCCCAGACGACCGGATGCACGTGGAAGCCCTGTGCGAAGGTCAGACACTGAGGGCGAAGAGCAGCCCCGGAGGGAGAGGACGCAGCGCATGGAGGTGGGGGAGAGGGGTGGGCTTCGGAGGTGGCATCCACCAGGCTGGGTCTGAGTGTGGCGCTCCGGGGACAAGTGGGGCTGGAGACCTGGACGCAGCCCTGAGCCTCCAGGGCAGCTGCAGCCCTGGGGCTGGTGAGAGGAGCAGGGGGCGGAGGGAGGAGGGTTGCAGCCAGGACAGGCCACTGAGGGCTTCTGGGGTGGCCTCGAAGATTCTGTTTCTTTACCTTCGTGGGGTTACAAAAGTGTTCGTCAAATTCATCAAGTCTTACTTTTGCTCTTGTCCTTTTAAAAAAAAATTTTTTTTTAAACAATAAAAAAGGTTTTGAAGGAAAGCGCGCCCAGGAGGGGACTGAGGACTCTGCTGAGAGTCACGGGGAGTTGAGGACAGACTGTGGCCGGCGGAGGAGGGGCGGGAAGCAAGGAAAAAGATGAGCAGAGGGCCAGGAGACTTTTTCCAGTTACCCTGGCTGAGGACAGAAGCGGAGGGAAGGTTACGGCTAGAGGGCGCTAGAGAGTGGAGGGCTGTGGGGTGGGATGGGAGAAAGGATGCGTGTCAGGCAGAGAGAGACGAAGGGGCAGAGAAAAGTGGCTGGCCGGTGCCGTCCAATCAGGCGGCCGCCCACCCGACACACGGCTGCTCGGTGCCGAAAACGTGGCCGAGCTAAGAGGTGCTGTGGGTGAAGAACGCACACGGATCTCCAAGACTTAAATCAAGAGAATGTGAAATAGCTCAATGATTTAAAAACGCTGGTTACAAGTCAAAATGATAATCGTTTGCACCTTACGTGCAAAGACCATAATTCCCGAACTCAATTTCCCCTATTTCTTTTTCCTCTGCAGACGTGGCTAGTAGAAAGGTTAGGAGGACACGGGCGGCACACTGTCCTTCTACTGGAGACTGGCCGCCGGCGTGGAGCTCGCCCGGCTCCCTGGCTCCCCGCTCGGGGCGAGCGCCCCCTGCTGGGCGGCCGTGCACCCCCGCCGCGGCCGGGCCTCTCCGGGCAGCCTCCAGCCCTCTGTCCTTCCGCTCCTCCAAGCTCCGACCTTCCTCCACTCTCCACTCTCCCAGGAGGGCTCCCCAGCCCCCTGAAACCTCCCAGGGGACCCGGGTTCTTCACTGCCACTGGTACCCTCCAGCAGCTGTCCATTTACTGCTGTGACCCCTGGGTCCGACTCTCTCCCATGAGACTGGAAGTTTCCTGAGGGAGGGGCAGCTCGCCTGTCGTGGTCCCACCGGTCCCCGGTTCTGTACGCGGTGCTCGGCATTTGCCGAATGAATAAAGCCCTGGGGCGGACGCGTGGGGACCAGGGAGGAGTGTCTGCGGTGAGCTGGGAAGGGTGGAGGGCAAGAGCTACCCCCGAGGCCCTCTTGAGGAGGAAGCCCAGGCTGGGGGCAAGGAAACAGCTGCCGTGGGGAGGGCAAAGGGAGATGGCCGTGGGCTCACAGAGGTCAGGGGGCAGCCCGAGGACCCGGCAAAGGCCAAAGGCCAGACATTTTAGAGGCCCGACCCACACTGCCGGGGTTGGCGGGGCAGCTGCTGGCACCTTCCCAGCTGTCCTCGACAGTTCACTTTTTATGAGGCAACATCTGTAACAGACAAAATACTTTTCCTCATAAAAATGCCACTACACGCTCTATTGTGGAGTAACTGAACTGCATGCCAAGATGCGGACGAGCTGGGTTTGGGAACGGCACATCAGGCGTGGAAGTCCATGCGTGGCCGAGGGTGGGTCTGTGATGGACGAGGAGGTGCCCTCAGAAGGGGACAATCCCGTGTAGAGCACTGGACCTCACTGGGCCTGCAGAAGGGCCCAGCTCGGGGCTTAACACTGCAGAGAACGGACCCACTGCCCGTGGGAGGGGGTGATGTCCACTTCACATCAGCACCACCAGGGATGCACCGTCCTAGGCCAGGGGTCAGCAAACATTCTCTGTAAAGGGCCAGAGAGTAGATATTTGGGGTTCTGAGGGCCACAGGGTCCCTGGTGCAACTATTCAACTCTGCCCTTGTAGAGTGAAGATGGCCACAGACGACATATAAACAGTGAGCTTGGCTGTTGTCCCAATAAAACCTTATTAACAGAAGCAGGCAGCAGGTTGGATATGGCCTGTGGTCCACAGTTTGCCAACCCCTCTATGACGCTCCAGCCTCAGAGATCTGATTTTCCCAAGGTTGGCCGCCGTATTTCAGAACTCCAATGGATCTCCTTGGAGGAAGCACTAAACTCTAGTGAGTGTCAGGAATCTTCCACACGAGAGAATGGAGACGCAACCCCCTATTGGGCCAGAAACAACTCATGATAATATTTCACTGCATCAGTAAAATGTGAATCAAAGGGCGTCTTCTGCAGGGAGGTACCAGGTCTGGAGAGGGGAGTGTCGGGAGCGAGGGAAATGAAAGAAATCTCATTTTAAAATATGTTGTGGGCTGAAGAGCAAAGCCAGACTTTACTTTAAAGAAGACAACATCTCTTGTCACCTGTTCCCCCGACACCGAGCGGCCTTCCTCCTCCCTCCCCGAGAGCCCGCAGCACCTCCAGTGGCCTGCGGTGGAGGGGGGCACGGTCAGGACAGATAAACACACACATCTAATGAAACCCACCAAGGCCTGTTGTGTAACACGGGAAGCGCAGAGGCCAGTGGGAAACAGCAGGTGTTCCTGGCAGCGCGCGGGCCTGGGGAGGAGAGGAGGAAGCATTAACGAGCTCTTACCCTGGGTCTGTGTGGGCAAATGTTTATGTAACTGCACTGAAGGAGCTGAAGCTTCGCAGCTGCCTGTCTGCTTTGGAGTGCAGCTGCCAAGCAGTACCTTCTCCCCTGTGCCCTCGAGGCCTAAGACATTTGCAATCGCCTTCTCCTGCCAGAAGGCTACTCACCGAGGTCAGCGCCTCCACGTTGGCGCCTGTCAGACAGAGGTAGCGGACCACGTCCAGAATCCCGTTGTTGGCTGCAAGGTGCAGAGGTGTCCGTCCATACTGGAAGAGACAAAGAAGACCCAGGACTGTTGCTGAGGATGGCAGTTATGGAGGGATCCCGCAGGGTCAGCGCTGTGTGAGGATCTGGGAGCCACTGGGAAGAAACAGGAGGCGAGGTCTCCCTTCTCCAGAAACTTTGCCATCCCCTGGGGGCGGCGAGGGACGCAAAATGTTTTCAAGTGTTTTTCCGTTGAAAGCGTCACTTTAAAAAAAAAATTTCAAAGGATGAAAGAGTGGGAGGCTTATCATCAGATAACTAAATTAGGTCTCCTGCTGCGCTGGCAGAAAGGATGCATGAGTCAGGGCTGGAGGGCCCCAAAGTTCCGGCAAGATCTGCAGCACAGCTCAAATTTAGATGCAGCAAGGGAAGAAGCCATGGCAGGACAGCCACTGAGGACGTGCTAGTGAGGTGACATTCCAAGGCCGTACCCAACCACTTTCTATGCCTATGATTTCCAAACTGGGTGCCAAGGCATCTCGCGGCCCTGCAGTGAATTCCCAGGGTGCTGAGGAATATTTTAAATTTTTGATGGAACCAGCAGGTTCAGACACCAGGGGAACGACCAGCTCCAGGTAGGTCAGTGTCTCAAATGAGCTCGCACTGCCTTCCTCTCAATGTCACGTGTGCAGAGCAAGGGTTTGGCGGCTGCTGTGACAGGAAGCAAACAGCTTGAGAAAAATCCATGTAGAACAGGAAACAAGGCTGGAGGTGTCCACTCTTGAGTCCAAGGTTTGCGGGGTTGTGAGTCCCATTAGGACCCAAGCATGGTTATATAAGAGTGAAATAAAAATACTAATTTTCTTTCAGCTGGATTGAAACTACCTAATAAACAGAACCTGGGGTATTTCTTTTGCGCTGGGGGAACCATGAAAAAAATTACTGAGACACTCTGGATGCTATGAACTGAGAAACTTTGGGTGTCTCTGTTTCATGCTGTTGATGTGCAAATATAGGGTTTTTTTTTTTGTTCTGAAGGTAACTCTTGCTCATTTAGAATATCCAAACAACATAGGATATGTGCTGGGTCAATATGGTAGAAAAATGAAGTCCTCCCTTTCCCGCCCCTTCCCCCAAGTTCCACTACTCAGTGTTGGCCCTACTCGAAACTGGTGGATTTCCTTCTAAGCTTCTCTCTATGAATCCATAAATGGAGATAAGCAATTTGGAAAGCCAAAACATGACCACGATCTTCTATCCTGTCACTTGCTCTATTCACCTAATAATAGATTGTGAACAGTTGCCCTGTCTGTAAGTGAAACCTTTGGGATACCTGAATAATACTGATTAGTTAGATATGTCGTAATTCATTTAGCCAGCCCGCTGAGGATGGACACTTAAGGTGGCTCCATTTCTTGCTGTCACAAATAATGCTGCGATGTGTGTACATATTTATGTTCTGTCTGTTAACTTCTAGAGTGATTTTGAAAGCAGCTATTAAGCTTTTGCATACCTAGAGTTAAAGTGGGAAGGAAAGGAGGAGGTTGGGAAGACCTGGACACAGTGTCTGGATTTCTGCGTAAGGAAGACAGTCTTGGTTGCAGGAGGCACAGTTTTACAGAAGGGAAGATGGTCAGTGAAGAGACATGGGATAAAGGGAAGCTGACACTTTTGATGGTCCCCAGTGTTTGCTAGAACAAAACCTAAGACATTCGAGGTTTTTCACCATCTGGATCCTTTCCAGCTGCATGTTCTCTTTCCCCTGAGAAACACCTACGCCACAGGTCAGCTACAGGGGCGTCCAGAACGTCCCCCAACACACACACACACACGCCTTCTCCTCTTCTTGAAATGTGCCTTCCCTCCTTCATCTGTCAAAGTACAATCGTTTAAAATGATCACCTCTGAAAAGCTTTCCTTGGTTTCTTTAATCCCTAGACGTCCGTGTTTCCGGAGCACTGGAGCATCCATCACAGCAGTGGTTGCAGCACGAGAGGCTGTTATACTGAAATGTCTGTGTGTCTGTCCAAAAGCAGTCCGAGGGCAAGGACCATCCCGCCGTCCACAGGCTCCCCCACACGGTGCCCGGCACAGCGCCATCGGAGAAGGGCGTCCACCAGCGCCTGACAGGCGCGGGCCCCTCGCACGCGCTCCCCAATGTGCGCGCGCACCGGCCTGTGTGTGCGGGAGCGCGGGTCCGCGCGTGCGTGTGTCAATGTGCTTTTTCTAGCTTCGCTGGTAGGAAGAGCCAACCCAGAAAGGCACACAGGGTTGTGCCCTCTGCACCGTCCAGTTCCTCTCCTCTCCTGCATTCCCTGACTCGGCAGAGTGCAACAGCCACTCTCCTGATTTTCATATGAGAAGAATGCAGACTAGAAATGTCTGCTTCACTGCAGTGAGAGTCAAAAATAGTGACAAGTTCCTGTCACATCCTGGTGACAGACGCAGGATCTGAATGGCCATTTTTCTCTCTGGGGGAGCTGAATCCAGGTAAAGACAAGGCAGGGCACAGCACAGAAAGGAGTGACAGTCTGCCTGTGGGACGCGTGCTGTGACTGTGCCACGGCCGCGCTGACAGCCGGTTACCAGGGTGAGTCCATGTAAAGCCAGATGCACTTTCTGGGGGAAATAATGCCTTCCTCTTACTTTTCTGCACATGCTTGAAGCTCCTCTATCGCCCCCATCATCTTTCCCAAAATAAACAATGAAAAAAGGAACAGAGAAGCAAGCTGACACCAGCCCTTCTGAGGAGGGTGCGAGATGCTGAGCACACACTGAAGGCAGCCAGGGGCCTGTGCGCAGGTACGGAGCGCAGTTACCATCACCAGCATGCCGCTGCTCCAGGCCCATTCCGAACAGCAGTCTGAACTCAGCTGCCGGTTCCAAGAGGTTGGGGTTGCGGAACAAAGGAGCTTCGCCTCACCTGAGCTCAATTCAATGACACACGCCTCTACTGAGTGCCCTCTGAGTGCCGCTGCTGTGATGTATGGAGTGGAAACACAAGTGTAGACCACACGTACGAACTACCACCACGGCCATCGGGGGTACCAAAACGCAGAGGTTTTCTCATTAAATAAGCCAGCTGTTTCGAAACATGAACGTCTAAGATTATCTTGC